TGATTGCAAAAAAAACGTACATGATTGGCTACTGAAATTAGATTATGATTTAACGGAATCGCTCCTATCAAGATAAATATAATGTACGCACACACACACACCCAAAATCACAAACACACACACACACACACACACACATGCACGCGTGCGTGCATGCGCAAACTATACACTACACTACACGAACATAAATATATAGTACTATACATTCATATATGTATTTATACATTTTATATCATAATACACTCTTAATTAGTATTTTATCCTGGATTTTCGCTGTAATTTTAAATAATATAAGAATTCCTTTGTTTATCTATCTATCTATTGTTTTCCTAGAATATTTTCATTCAATGTCATAGCATTCGAGGGGTGGGAACCTGGTGACTTGTACTACAGGCTTATATATGCCTACTTCAGGCACCAGCTTCTCACATAATAGAATTCTGTATATGTACTACTAGATTTACATTGTTTTACTTTATGTTATGTGAGAGGATAAATAAAGACATTATTATTATTATCTTTAAGCTGTAAACGGACGCGTGACATCTGTGGCATACATCCCTGTAAGGTAATCTATGTCATATTTATCAGTGGCCTTTCAATGATTATTGGCGGTAACTTAGCCGTCGACGGATCGTTGCTCCTGTTTTATCACTTAAATAATAGTTTGAAGTGGATTTTGATTCGTAAAAGCGATGCGATTTTGTGAGTTAAGTGTCCGTGCGTGTGAACTATTAGAGAAAACGGCGAAACAAATGCTTCGATGTTGATATAAACCTCAAGTTATTTTGATCGCTTAGGCGCTTTATAAACTTGAGTGACTGTCGTCATCAACTATCCGCTGGGTTAAGCTGTCGTCAAAATCTCCCAAAACTTCACAATGTGGCGCATAAGCATATTGTGAAGAAAATATCTATATAAATGAAGATCCAGAAAGAAATGATATGCTCAGAAGGGCTAGAACCCAGAGCCGTAAAGCCAGTTAAATTAAAAAAATGGCCTTTCAATGAGGTGTGTCAGGATCGTGCCAAATGGAAGTCTGTAGTCTCTGCCTACCCCTCTGGGTGACAGGCGTGATGGTTTATATTATGTTAAGTTAATTAAGATTACTTTCAATGACTGATGCACAATGCTGTGCACAGGCCTCCTCTCACTTCTGAGGAATTTTTTGAGATAATTTTACAAATTACAACTCGTTTAATTTTAACTTATTTGGAGTTTGCTTAACATAGAGCAACAGGGGCTCCCGTGGACCGGAGGGGAGAATTCATAGCGTTTTTCCCCAATAAAAACTGTCTTGTCATTTTTTACTGGGGTAAATCAAAACAATAAACCAATAATTTCATACACATAGATACATTATATCAGTATCGCTCGTTGAAAACGACAACTCGGATGCAGACTCGAATCACTCGCTCGACCGATCTGCATATTGTTGAGGGCAAGTGGTTTGTGTTGGTAAATGAATCGGAAACAACACGACCACACGTTATTATTGTAATTTTTAAGTTTAGAAAGAAGCAAATAGCAATAACGTGATTAAAATTTTCCTATAAACACCAACTTTTGTTAATTAAACGTCAGATCTATTTTTGCAGCACAAAACTGACCAAATCGGCATTTTTGTAGGACGTCGAATCAGCTGTGCAACTAGATATAGTGAGCAGCGCGGTAGCAACTAACTAGTGTTATTGTACGCATAGGACCGCGTGGACTCGTATTTTGAATGAGGGAAACGCCTGCGTATGCGTACTCCCTTTCAATCCACCGCTGGCCCGTGTTGCTCTATGCCGTGTAAAGGAAGTAACCCTGAGGAAATTTTTTGGTGCCTAAGACATAAAAAATATATCTAAAACTTGTAAGGCAAACATCACGCATTAAGGAAACGAGGTGAACTCTTCACTATCCTCAAACCCTCTCAGTTATGAACAGAGGTCTGCACTCTATTCATAACTGCACTTTATACGTGTTAGATCCACGCTGCAGCTGTATTAAAGTTGTCGCACGAATGGGTCTGTTCGATCGGGGAAGGACCACACTCTCACAATACCAGCGTAAAATAGCAGCTTAATGATACTATGTTTCGTTGGTGAGTCTAGATAACAGGAGACCCTTTTTACTAGAAACGAGGCATTCCATCTCAGTTTTTAGGGGTGATAACGCATCTGCATTTTCATTTTTATTTGAATTCACATTGGTAATAAATGTAGATATTATGGGCCACAAGCATTCACTAACCATCAAGTGCACTGTGTGCTCCTTTGTCACCCTATGCTATAAAAATAGTTGGCTGTGAAATGTGTGTAGATGTCCTTTAGTATTGATAACTATAGTTGTAAGAGCACAGAAGATTTCTTAGTGATTTAAAAAGTGGATTATAGTAACTTAAGTCAGGCTAGTAAGAAATTCTTGTAGTTGTGATGTGTATCAAGCTCGTCTTTATTGTACAAAATATTTCAAGTAGTTAGAGCTAACTGTATGTCACTTTCAAATGCACAATAATATATTTAATAAAACAAAGATATATCTCTCTACAGACTGTTTAAAAGAAATATTTAAAATTGCACAAAATTTACAGCTCATTCAGTCGATCTGTCTGTGCGACTATTTGACTACAGACTATTAACTGTTTGACATTGGCTGTATGAACATAAACAATAAATAATTTATTTAATGTAATGTATTTGTAACACAAATTATATATAAATTTTAGCTTTGTGCACTCCTCCATATAGACTTTAACTGTGCCAAATCTCCAACTCCTCCGTGCGCGCAAAATACGTATTTTAAAAAGATTATTTATATTAGAATAATGCAGTTTAGATTTGATGACTTAACGTAAATTCGTAATCTGTCTCGAAAATAATACAAACGGCAATCATTTGAGGACCCTAAAATAAATAATGCGTAATAAGGATCACGTATTACACGCTTACACTCCTACGCACTACTGCTTATAAGTAAATATATACATATAATTATATTTACAATGTATTATCTAATCAAGCTAATGGCCTATCGAAGTCTGGAAAAAAGTCATCATACATAATTTAAATTGACTAGTTGTTGTAGTTTTTTTATAGAATAAGGGTGACAAATGAGCACACTGTCCACCTGCTGCTAAGTGGATGCTGTGACCCATAGATATCTACATTTATCCTCGATTTAGAATCAAAACGCTGATGCGTTGTCAGCCCTGAGGACAAAGATGGAATGCCTCATTTCCAGTAAAAAAGGGTCTTCGGATCTCTACGCTCACCATACGAAACACAGCAGTATTAAGCGATTCGCCAATTAAGGCAGGCAAAGGTGTTATACCATACAGCCTAGTCTGTTACAGCCTATTGAATTCCACTGCTAAACATAGACCTCCCCCATAGAGTTGGCAACCGCAGTTTTTATTGAATTTTAACTCGTTATTAGAAAGACGCTGCTGCCTCCTGATTTGTTTCCCTCTGTCGCCTCTTACGACACCCACGAGATCGTATGGGGTAGTGGATATTCTTACACCGCCACTACACAGTACTACAGTCTAGTCTGCTATGTATTTTATTCACAAAACTCTTCTCAATATACTAATAGGTTATTTTAGGATTCTCTCTGTGCTAGTAATTACTCTATCTAGGCATAATTGAAAATTATATTGGCTAGTTGTTGTAACGGTTTACCAATTAAGGCAGGCAAAATTCTTATACCGTACAGCCTAGTCTGATGTGAATTTTGTTCAAAATGCAATATCTTTAATTCCTGACTTCATACAGTAGTAGACTGAAGAAAAAATTGTTCAGTATTTCAAACTATACTGGATGACCTTTTTTACCGCCTGGAATTAATAATAAATAAATTAATAGGGTATAACATGTGAATGTGTGTTTGTAAATTATCAGTGGCATAGGCTTCTACTCAGTTTACATGTTACACCCTATTTTTTTTTCAGACGATTAAAAGGTCCTCCAGTATATTTTTACGTTTTTCATTTGCAGACGCAACAAAAAATGTCAACAAAAATTTGTTTGGGAGTTCGCTATTGTCCTTTGCTTACTACCCGTGCGGTTAAAGAATCGCATTGAAAATGGCACCATCTCTATTCATCTCTCGCTCGCACAGTGTCACTGCTTACTCAAACCCGCCGGGAAAGAGAAAAGACTCCAAAAAATACGTTGCGATGTGCGTTTTTCAGTGCGTTCTATAACTTCAGTCCAACTTGTCATTGGAATCAACGATAACAAAATGCCATAAACTATTTTTTTTTTAAATCAGTCCGGTTTCGCTGATTTGTGAGCTACGACACGTTCTGAGATTTTTCTTCCGAATTATTGTTGATTATGTTTGTTAATATTTTTGTATAAAATGCTATTAAGACATGAGTGAGTAACCATTTTTTAAATTTTCGTTTATTTGTCTGTCCGAGCTAATCTTTGGAATAGCTGAATCAATTGTAATAAAACTTAACGAAATCCTTCACAGAAAAATTTTCTACTCTACTTGCGTTACAGTTCTTTTGAAATATTTTCCCATTAATATAAAATTTACAATTAACTGATTAATGTAACGTTATAACTATATACCATAAATTAGCTGGTTTCTCTATTGGTACTGTGCTTGTTACGGTACGGGCTCAATGAGCCGCCATTTCTAATTCCATTCTTTATCCGTACGGATTATATATACCTCACAACTTCTCAGTTTACTTTCCATGCTTGTTCGGACGATTTTGAACGTGACATTAATAACAACCCGCCTTCTTGAATTAAAATATCTGTGATGGATTTTAATTGTGGAATACATCATGTTAAATTTTTACTACTATAGAGACGAAAGTTTTTTTTATGTAAGTTACTTAGAGATATATTTGGAACTGTTGATCCGGTTCTAAAAATGTTTACAATGTTAAAAAGCACCTCTATCCCCGAGGGATAGAAGTGTATATGAAAGGAGGATTTGCACCAACTAATTATTAAAATTACCAATATTTAAATTAACTTTTTATTTTGTTTCAGTACTTCGGAATCACTGGGCGTATATGTGATACTACCTTCGAGAGAAATACTCAACACTATGCTAGTTGAGCAAGGACTGGCCTTTGCAAGTAATTCCTTCATTTTTTTCATATATATAATATTCAATGCAGGTGCAATAGATACGTTGACAATACCACATCGTGTTGTATGACGTAAGAGAATCCAACTAGGGAAAATAAAATTAGTACAAACCGATAACCTACTTCTGCCAGAAGTAAATATTACAGTTTGAGTTTTTCCAACTTGTATATATTTTGGGAACAGTAAAACAACAAACGAGACAATTGTTAAATTACTACAGCCGAATTACATCAACTAACTTTAAAGTAACTATACAATTTAAGTTGCTCATATAACTTAAGTAGATTTTACTTATAAAGTCCACTGTGCATTGTATAATAGATGCGATAGCACCTTATCTAACCACTATTTTTAATAAAAGCGTCGAATCTAGTATTTCCTGATTTAATTAAACTTAGTAAAATCATACCTTTATTTAAATATGATAGTACGATAGACCCCACCAATTTTAGACCAATTTCTGTATTACCAACATTACTAGCACTCATTTTGCGGGTAATTCTTTAACCTACCTACTAAGGATGATACGTGAGGCTATTGAAATTAAAAACATCCTAATTTCAATAGCGAAGGAGGCTGGGTACTACCCAAAATTACCCAAAATTAAAATTAAACCCATTGAAGAAATATGTACTTACGTACTAGAACAGCCATTTCAAACAGAAAATGTGTGCTACTCTGTGTTCGCGCGGTTGGTTTTTTTATCATAGAGTAAACATAAGTAGACTGACCCGTAGGTAATAGTAGATTGTATTGTTAAATAGGTAAATTATATCGAGAACAATATTTAAATTTTGTCATTTATTTTGTATATTATATTTGCTATTTTATTATAATATAACTTAATATCACAATTACATTTTAATGATATTTTTATCGGAATATTTTAAAAGGTATCTATGTCAAATATAAAAAACATACTAAATGTATGTTTAACAAAACTTCTTAACATAACATTTAAATTACTAATAATTTATTTAAATTAGAATAATGGTCGCTCATAAATGCTGGGTACGCGAGAGTTAAAAATTTATACCACTTTGACTTTGATGTGGAAACCTAAAAATAAAATAAAAGAATAATACGCAGATTTAAACATGAAAAATTTTGCCAAATTATAATAACTTATATATGTTTCTACAAAAAAAAATGTGTGTAATAATATATTCGTCCTATACTTAAGTACCCACAGAAATGTCGCATCTAAACATATTAATTTCATAATCTATATTCCCTGACACGAGATGGCGTCTTAGGAGTAATTTGTTTTATTATTAATACATAATACTTTTTATTGATTAAGTATCTTATTAACCGATGAAAAGTAATTCCTTGGTTTTTACTGACATTTCTTGAATTATTTGTGCAATATTTAAGTACACACGACGGCATATTTTTATCAAGAGATTTTTTTTTAATCAACACAACACGTGACAACTCTATAAAAGCCTATCGAGTGACTGATTAAAGTGCGGTGTATGCTCCGCAGTTGAGTGGAACATAGTAGCTGAATGCAGTGTCGCCTCTAGTACGTAGTACATAATAACTCAATGACTAAACCCAAGCATACCACTGCCAGACTACAAGACATAGTAAATATACTACCATAAATAATAATTAAAAACCTGAAGGTACTCCTAGTTAACACTGACTTCGGGACGTCAGTCATCTCAGTCTCCCGTGACCATTGGTGCTGGAAAACACCCGAAACGTCGGCAATTAAAAATCATATATATTTAACGCGATAAAATCTGTAAAAGTAGTTTTAATAAATGTATAGTGTTTGCATAAATATAAGAAATAATTATGTGGTGTACACTCTTTTAAGTGACAAGACTCCAAAGATTCAGTAATTGGGATACAGGACAATGTATACGCTTTTACAACAAAGTCCCAGAAAATATGCAGACCTTATTATTAAGCAAAAATTGTTTAGTAAGGGTTATTATACTACTAAAGGGTATATGATTATTAGATTCGATCAGTTTTTCACCTATTACACCCTATTTTTTCCTGAAGGTAAAAAAAATATCCAGTATAGTATGCTGACGATTGACAAACGAACGATGAACTAAATTGTTATGGATCATGCGATTTTAATGATCTTTAATTTCACTTCTCGATTATATTTTACTTAAGGATTCTAACTAAATGAACTCTGAACAAAATTCTAATATATTACTAAGTTCTAACAACTTCAATATTATTATTTCTGTTTTTATTTAAAGTTTATGATTTTAATTCACTTTACAGTTGAAAAGTTAAACATAACAGAGGCTGGGACGGTAAGAGGCCCTCCTGAGATACTAGATTCTGACCTTAACATAACTGACTGTCCGGAGTATGAAGATCCAGTTGAAGCTGTAACGGTATGTAAACTAAATTTTAAACAAAATATCTTCACTTAAGAGCGACGCGAGAAATAATATATGCTCGGAAAAAAATATACGCGTTCATGGAATACTCAATTAAATTCTTAACCGGATGAATTTTTACACTTTATATTAATCAAGATTTAAAAAAAATTTACCCTTCAACCCCTAAGCGGTCGAATTCGACCGCGGTGCTATTCCGTCAAAATTCAAGCGGTCGAATTCGACCACGCACACCCACATCCACAAATCAACACAACATTCACGCGAAAAAGGCGTACGAAGTTAACGTAGATTATAAATAAATATCTATGGCATAAGTATTTTTTATTGCATTAGAGGATAGAAAATTTCATATTGATTCTATTCAAAAGTAGTCTCCAAATATAAGTTTTAATGGTTTTAAGTGCTGCGGGTGGGTGCCGTGCCCGGCAAATCCCGAGCGGTCGCATGCGACTGCATGAGAATTTTAAGGGGACTGAGGGGTTAATTGACCTGCCGGAAAAAATTTTGATGTTCGAGTTCTCATTTTTTTAACGATAACCGTAAAATATATTTCGATAATATGAAAGACATATTATTGAATTAGATTCTTAATCGGTTACATTTTAATTTACGTCCTTTATTTCGTAATAATATGCAAAAAATATTTAAAAAAAAGAAACATTTTGTCCATCATGTATTCAGCGGAGAATGGAGGAAATCCTTGCCTTAAAAAGTATGCTTATGTGGCTTTCAACAAATCATTTTTCATAATGTAAATGTAAAAATAAGTTCTCACAGCCTTGTCTTGCTGAGAGAATATTAGGGAAAGGCCCTTTGTGCCAATGCGTGTTGGCGTACTTCACAAGTCTTCGAAATATTTCTTTTTCAATTTCTCATACATGCAGATTTCCTTAAAAAATGTTTTCCTTTACCACTGAGCATGTGGTATTGTGTTAAAACTGCAATTAACAATTTCATTGCTGCCGGCGGAAATCGAGCTCGGGTTTCTCGCGAAATTTAAAGCGAGCGCATAGCTCCCGAGCTACCATGGCCTTAAACCAACATAGATTTAGCATACTCTTTGAAAGTAGGAGAGCCATGCTACAGCTATATCAGTAGTATAATTGTATCACGAATGGTTCGGATCGACCGGGGAAGGACCACGCTCTCACAGAATACTGGCGTTAAATAGCAGCTCAACGCTGCTGTGTTTCGTATGGGTGAGCTTAGAGAACCGGAGACCCATTTTACTGGAAACGAGCTATTCCACCTTAGTCCTCATGGGTGACAACGCATCTGCATTTTGATTAGTAATCGAGGATAGATCCAGATGTCTATGGGCTACAGCAACCACTTACCATCAGGTGGACTGTATACTCGTTTGTCACCTTTATCCTAAAAAAACTCTAAATCTGTGCGAAACTAATGTCAAAACCAACTCAACCCTGATTGCCAGAGTTATGAAATTGCACTACTGTTAAGACTCTTATTAGTCGTCAAGACGTCTGAAGTAGAGAACTAAAGACCCATTATATATACAGTGTGTCCGGTTACCGGTGTCGGAGATTTTAATGCTATAAAATATAATCAATTTCATCAACAAATCATGTCTCAAATCTCATTTAGACCTAGCTGTATTTAAATGGCAGCCATTTAAATTTTTTAGTTTCACCACCTTGACCCCGCGCATTAAAATTACAATATTCACCGATGTTGAAGTCCTACATTCTTAAAAGATATCTCATTGGATAGATAAAGATACGCGTAATAAAATAAAAGCAAACTTTTAACTGCAAAATTGTATTTAGATCCTAAAAAGACATAGAAAAGAAAAAAATTTTCTAAAAAATCGGTTATTTTTTCACATTTTCGACTTTAGTGAAAAAAGTAAGTCATTTACCTAATGATTTTTTACATTAATCAGATAGATCAGAACATATCCTAACCAAAAACATAAAAATCTTAATTGTAAATTAAATAGTTTAAGAATTGTACTTTATCAAACACAGGTCGTGTTTGATTAAAAGAGCAAGCTGCACGTGCAGGATCATTTATGATAGTTCAAGAGCAGGTAGAAAAACCCAAAGCACATTGTTTGATGTTCTAAACAAGTGTAATTGGGACAACAAAACAGTCGTCCCTCGCCACGCGTTGTGATTACACTACTTTTGTCCCTCTAAGATCGCTTGTTGTTGTTATTGTTAAAAAAAATTCCGTTTTGTGGAACTTTTTAAGTTTGTGGTGAAGTTTCTAGTTATTTTGATATTTTCAAAAATGGCAGATGGTAAATACTCAAACCAGCATGTCGCTGATATCCACCACGTGCAGCTTGCTCTTTTAATCAAACACGACCTGTGTTTGATAAAGTACAATTCTTAAACTATTTAATTTACAATTAAGATTTTTATGTTTTTGGTTAGGATATGTTCTGATCTATCTGCTTAATGTAAAAAATCATTAGGTAAATGACTTACTTTTTTCATTAGTCGAAAATGTGAAAAAATAACCGATTTTTTAGAAAATTTTTTTTCTTTTCTATGTCTTTTTAGGATCTAAATACAATTTTGCAGTTAAAAGTTTGCTTTTATTTTATTACGCGTTTCTTTATCTATCCAATGAGACATCTTTTAAGAATGTAGGACTTCTACATCGGTGAATATTGTAATTTTAATGCGCGGGGTCGAGGTGGTGACACTGAAAAATTTAAATGGCTGCCATTTAAATACAGCTAGGTCTAAATGAGATTTGAGACATGATTTGTCGATGAAATTGATTATATTTTATAGCATTAAAAGCTCCGACACCGGTAACCGGACACATTGTATATATATCCATATATACCATATCTACTGACAATGAGTGGTTTGATGCTAGTCCTCAGGTTTGCGAACACCTATGAATTTTGATACTTCATCATTTATAGATATTGGTTTCTATGGGCCATAACATCCACTTGCCATTAGATAGACCGTGCTTGTTTTTAACATAATACAGCAATTATTAATTTAAAGCGATAAACATTTCGCGGCTTTGTGCAGTGGGGTAAAATCTTTTTTTTTATACTTGCCTAGGAACCTTGAGCCATAAAAAAACTTCTAATGTTCGTTGTTCAGGGATATCACAACCGAGATGAAATGGACATCTGCAAACATTACAAAGGCGGTCCCGAAAAAACTTGCTTCAAAGGAGCGCGTTGCAACAAGAAACATATCGTGAAGCATCCAGGTATGCAATAGTAGAATATACAGAATTATTTTATTTAATTACATGCAATTTTAAGAAAAAAACACCTTTTTATCTGTTCCGTAAAACTTTTGAAACTTGCGTTTTCTGTTATGTTTTCCTCGCTGAACTAACTCCTGATAGACGTTTCGATCCATGTTAGTAAGAAACCAGTGTATGTTCTGTCACCCAGACGGCTGGACGTTGGATCGTGTGCCGGTGGCCGGCAAGTGCCGTCCACTGCCGCTACCAGCGCCCGGCACGTGCCTGCGTGTGCACGTCACGCACGTCGCACACTACGACCGGTTTTACGTGCAGTTCGTCAAGCCGCCCGTTAAAGGTAACTTGCACGCATAAACACGCACATCACGCACTACGACCGCGTCTACCTGCAGTTCGTCAAGCCACACGTTAAAGTTGTCTGCACCACAACTACGCATTCCAATTCCAGTTTATATGGTATGAAGATCCAGTTTTAAAACAAGCTTTGAGACATTCCATTTTAATTTTCTGACATACCGTAAAACATGCCAACTTTGCCCTAAAAATGAGAATATTCTTGCATTTTTGAGTTATTTTGAAAACCCGTTATATGTTTCATACCATATTTGTACCACACAGTACTTTAAGTACATGTCTCGATATTTATTTCTTAAAATATCCAGAAAGTTGTATGTATATTTTTAAAAAACACATTCATATGTGGTGGGCAAAAATTCATAGATTTTTGGCAACTTTGCCAATTTTAAATATTTCCGATATTATAAACCGTATCAAAAATCTTAAAATAGCTAAACATAAATGTAGAGCAATGCAGTATTATATTAAAATATCAGTTTAATAGTCATATTCATTGTCCTTTAAAATTGAGTGGGCAAAGTCAAAAACCCACCTAGAACATTTTTCTTACAATAACGATCAACGTCTAAGGGCTGTCACCATTAAAAAATGCTTCATTCCAATAATAAATGAAAACTTTTTATATATAAAATATTTATTGACATAATAAATTCAAAAATGCAATCATAATGGATACAAAATAAAGAACAACGGTGTACCTACATATACTGTTTGTTTGAGTTATGTAGCGATTAACAATAAAGAATAAAAGGAATAAAAGTACAACATGTAATAGAATAAACTAAAAATACCTAAACTTATATTATTGAGCACAGGTTCTTTGGGTATTTTTAGATTTCGATTTAAAATCGAAATCAAGGAACACTTAAACATAGGTGTAGTGTGTACCCAATAATTTTACTTGCGACTATAATCAAACTAGCTTATATTATAGGTCCAGCTTAAATATCAAAAACACCTAAGGGATTTTTAAAAGATGTAATCATCTTCCTAACTGTCTTCTTCTATCTTTCATAAACAAATCAAATATGTCATCTATAATTAGTATTTTAATTACGTAAATATAATAGCAGCTATTCTTAATGTTTTAATTATTATACAAAATATTCTCAGTCTTATAGGAACAATTGTTACAATTGAGATCAAGTAAAACTTAAGCATAGATAAACAAAGAGTTTCTTATTTTACTTCAGACTGAATTTGCATTATATTATAATAATAACATAACAATTTAACAGTAAAGTTTTGTACTTAACAAAATAACTTTAGTTTACAACATATATTTATCTATTCTTCTATACTATACTAAAACTCTAACACAACATCTGTTTGGACACACATCACGCAAAAACAAGTGATCCGATTTAGATAAGACTTTCACTGGCGGATAACTGATTTTATAAGGAGCAACTTAGGCTACTTTTATTTTAGGGTTTCGCGGAAAATAATCCACGCAGGCGAAGTTGCGGGGAACAGCTAGTAACTTAATATTTTATAATAAGTTTATTGTATATTATAACTAGAAAAATCAACTTCGAACATAACTTGGCCCCTTCTAGTAATTATTGGTTGCGGTAAGACGAGAACAATGTCATCTACGTGAAGCATTTCATAAATATCTTTGACAGGTGGATACGTAAAGGTTAATCTTTTGCTATTTGCAGTATTTTTAACTTTCCTTAGAAATTCTATTGTAGGGATATTATTTTTAATATATAAAATCCGTCCAGCAAAGTGCTTGACGCTTTTTTTTCGTAGCAAATTTTGCTATGAGCCAGTCACCTTCGTTTAAATTATCAACATTGCCTGTGAAATACTCAATATCACTGATCCCAAACGGGATCGGGTCCGGCTCCAAGTTTTCTTTTTCCGACTGATCTTGTAAACAGATTTTTATGTAGTCATTTAATGTTTCATATTCCGAATCATCTGATTCTGCTATACTCAATTGAAAGTCGGAAATTTCAGAGCTTGATTCACTAATTTTTTTTTAAATTTCTTCTTATTCACAGATGTTGTTTTCCTTGATTTTGTTTTGATTTTATTAATTTTACTCCTTTTTTTCACGCTTTACGCATGTGGTTCTAGTCATACTTTTTCGTTTTCGTGTTGTATTTTCTTCTTTTTGCATATTTATGTATTCATTATTTTTGTCAGTTACGCTTGAATCATTGTTTATTTTATTTATTTTATCCCTTGTAAATAATTTCATTTTCAGTGCTGATTGCGTAATAACTTTAGCACCAGCATCTATTTGGATCCTTAAGTTTTTCTGTGTTTTTCTTTCCTTATAGTCTAATTTTACATTGGAAGTTATTGTAACATTTGTTTGATTTGTTGATTGCAAACATGGTGGCAAATCATTATCATTTATCACTATAAATGGCAAGTTCTCTTTGTCACCTTTTCGATTTTTGCTTAATAAATGCACATTATTTGGTGATACAGGAGTAGTGTAATTTATTAAGGAAATCATATTATTATTTATAACTGTTATACAGATTTTACTGAGACTATCTGGATTATAAAGCACATGGGATATATTTGACCATAGGAACATTTGTAAATTATTTCTATAAACATTTTCATTTGACGTCGAAGGCATTTCGTTAGATTTATTGGACGGAAAAACTATACCTTCATGTTCTATCTTCTGGGTAGTTTCAATATGTTCAGGTGTGTTTTTTAAAAAAAATCCTATTTTATCATCCAATACGAGCTCATTTTCTTCTATGTCTCTTTCAGTAGTCACTTCTTCTAATATATTTATCTCACAATCTTGCCTGCTGCTTTCTATATCATTAAAATTATCCTGATAGTTTTCAAATCTTTTGGATTTCTTATTTTGAACACTATTGTTACTAGTTGTTTTTATTATAATATCGGCGGCACAAACTGACTTGCCTGGTTCTGTACGTAATTTCTTACTCCTTTTCACTGCCATTGGTTTAGAACACCTTGTTTTTTGTAAGTAATCTAATAAAGCTGAATCTATTCTGTACACTTCTTCGTCAAAATACTCAGGTATTCGTTTCAAAACATTTCGGGCATTAACTGGCCATATTCCCGCGGCTCTAAATCCACTTTTAATATTATTACTTTCTCTGAGATTAATATTTTTTAATAATTCGTTCAAGAGTTTAGGAAAGTGCTTTTTATTAATAGTTGACTGTTCCGGATTTTGAATTTTGTAATTTGTGAGTACCTTCCTCCATTCTCTTTTTAAAGGGGCAAAAAACGCTACATCTAGAGGTTGGGTCAGATGTGTGGAGTTAGGTGGAAGAAACACAAACCTAATATCATATTTTTGGCATAGCTCCACAACTTCGATATTTAGGTGACTAGACAAATTGTCACCTATTATGACTTTTGGTCCTGAAAGATTCTTTGCCCACTTTAGTATAATTGTTCTAAAATAATCCTCAAAACAGGCAGAGTCAAACCAACCCGATTTCGTGCAATTGTAACGAGTTCCATCAGGACCTCCGTCAACCCATTCGGAATATAGATTTGTAGCTTTATATACTACATATGTTGGAAGACAGTCACCAGCTGCAGACACCGTAAACATAATCGAAACACAACTCTTAGAACTGTTTAAAATTCTTTCGGGATATTTTATGCCCCTTCTAAAAATGCATTTTAAATTACTCGGGTTATCAGACAAATTAGTCTCATCGTAGTTAAGGATGTTACTAGGTGGAATATCCTTCAGCGTCGCTTGTAAATTATCGAAGAAATTTTGCATTTCTAGCAGACCTTTCTCGGCCTGGACCTTTTTTATATTTTGTGTAGTTCGAACTGATAATTTTGATGAATGTCTATTTAAAAAATTTTCTACCCAAGTGTTTCCGGGCATTTTTCCATTAAAAATATGACTGCGTGAATTTTTTTCTAAATAATTAAAAACAAGCATTTTCAGGTCTAACTTGGTCATTGGAGAACCATAGTCACTGACAGCTACCAGAACATTTACAAGATTTTCTTCTTCGATTTCTGTTAGTTGTTTTTGTCCCCCAACCGTTTTCATGTGCACTTCTTTTGCCTTATTTATTATGGTCCTCCGTGGTATCCCGAATTGTTTTTCGGCTTGTCTACTAGAAATAACATTTTTTTTACTAGGTCTACTGCTATATCCAACATTTCCTTAGAGTAGTTTTTGTAATTTCTGGATCCTAGTTTCCTTCTATTTCTTTTTCTTTTTGTACATGTATTTGAATTATTATTACTGTTCATCCTATAAAAACAAAAACAATATATCTGAGAAACTATAAAAACAAATAATAAAAAGGTTACAAAATGCGGAATTACGCAGAAGCGTAGAATACTATACGTAGAAAATACGATCGACGAGATCTTTCATTTGTGCTACTAACAAAAATTACAGCAAATGAAAAAGTTACAGATGACAACCCTACGGGTAATAAATTGGTGGGCAATGTTGTCAACAATGCTCAAAAAAGAAGTGTGTGACTTTGCCCACCAACATATTAGGTGAATTTATGAAATTTTTTGCGTAAATAGTAGTCTATATTATCCATTTTAAATATATTTACGGTTGTAAAAAAATTACTTACCTGCTGTTACTGCAACTATCACTTTTCGGTAAAGTTTTTGTGCTGGTTTTTGCCCACCAAAAAACACTACCAACTTATACAAGTTCTGACAGGCAACTGAAGTTACATAGATGACATAACATCACTTAGTGTTGCTAGAAAAATAATGAATTTTATACTACAGACAAAAAATACTCCTAAGTTATGTCAAATTCGCTGTGTATCAAGTTTACCAAAAAATACCCAACTGGGCAAAGTCAAATCCCAAGGGCAAAGTTGCCAGGTTTTACGGTAATATCACACTAATCACCTTTGCTTGGAGTCGAATGCTAGTGCACTGTGAATTATATTTTCTTTGAGCTTTAGTAAGCCAGCACTGCATCTTATTCCAAATATGTAAAGGAATATTACGGTTCAGTTTAAGAAAATCTTGTTATAATCAGACTTCGATAATTAGGGAAGAAATGAAATAATGTTGCAGAGGAAATACCAAGTTTTGGCGTTGTGCTTCCACCTACCACACTAGAGAGCCTTGTGCGTGACATGAACAGCCCTGCTTCTCGTATGGCGTATAAACCGCTCAAGGTAACCTTTTTATCTTTGTTACAAAGATCTCTTTGTAAAAATATTATGATATATTGAAAATTTTTATCCCCTGCATGCATTTTTATATATTGCGTATTCCGATTATTGTACTAGTTTCGTTTCTAGGATTTGACCGTTTAACTGGTTAAAGTGATTTGTATCGAAAATCATGTGTATATGTTTTAATGGTGGTTAATATAGCGCATAGCCAGGCCTCCGTCACTCGCTCTAGGCCACGCGTTATATGCCTACCGCTCTGCGCTCTGCCTATTACATGGTTTGCATTTCGACGAGTAAGTGCAGGAAACGTGTCTGGTGCGAGCGCTCAGTTTAACAGTGTCTGGAGATGGAACATTATTAAATCTATTTAAATAAAAACCGGCCAAGAGCGTGTCGGGTCACGCTCAGTGTAGGGTTCCGTAGTTTCCCGTCCGTCACAATAAGTGTTCCCACTTATGAGTTTAAAGGTGGGTATCCATTATGTTCGCGCTCCAGCAGCGCTCCGCGCTCCTGCAACTGCTCCCGGTAGTGGGTACTGTTGTTTCCATCCAAGTTCAAAATTATTTTCCTAGAAAGTCCTTATAATGTTCTACTTTTCAGATTTTTTTTCATATTTTCTAAACTTATGGTTCATAAGTTAGAGGGGGGAACATTTTTTTTACTTTTGGAGCGATTATTTCCGAAATTATTGACATTATCAAAAAATTATTTCAGTAAACCCCTACTCATTTTTAAATACCTTTCCAACAATACATCACACGTTAGGGTTGAAATTAAAAAAAATTACTTCCCACTTTACATATAGGGGGGCTACCCTAATAAAACATTTTTTTTCCAATTTTTATTTTACCGCTTTGTCGGCGTGATTGATATACATATTGGTACCAAATTTCAGCTTTCTAGTGCTAACGGTCACAGAGATTAAGCGAGGACGGACAGACGGACAGACAGACATGGCGAAACTATAAGGGTTCCTAGTTGACTACGGAACCCTAAAAAGGCGATTAACGATACACAAAGCAAAACAAAAAGTTATCGATTACCTATCGAGAAATATAAAATAAAACGTGAACATATACTTCTTTATAAATTACGACGAATATATAATACCTTTAAACGAGCAATTCTTGTGTATATATATAATCGGAATCTCGGAAAAGGCTCCAACGATTTTCATGAAATTTAGTGTGCAGGTAGTTTCGGGGGCAATAAATCGATCTAGCTAGGATTCTTTTTTAGAGAACGTCGTTTTATCCGTGTTTTCTGGCAATAAAAAAACTGCATCATTAGCATAGGAAGGTAAATTTTGCCAGTACTTAACAGGTAATAATAGCTCAAATGGGATATCGAGCGGTCCTGAAATCGTGGTTCGAGTCAAGATTTCATCGGACTTGTTTTTCCTTTTTTTTCAAGTTCCCTTTCCCTTTTTATTTCAAACCCTTTTTTAGTATTTTTTTAAAAACACAATTAAATTAAACTAAATGCTCTCACGATTTTTTATTTAAATAACCAGTTCAGTTCTTTTTATTATGTTTGTAAGATCGTAAAATATTATTCATATTTCATCAGTATGTAATTTTTACCTAAATATAATTTCCAAAAAAACACTATTTCCAAAAAAAATACGGGCATCTAGGTCCTATATTTTTATTACAGTTACAGTACATATAGCACATACAGTACATACAGTTTATGACGTTATATTTACATATACTATGTATTAATTTGAAAGAAAAAATCATCTATTTTATGTTAATGGCATCATTTATTAAAAAATTTATGAATGATGGTCATAAAGTTTGTATATTGAGTAAGTAAGCTGTATTTCACTTTCAACTCTCAGTATAATGATATAATAATAGTAAATGACTCATCTATTTAATATGTATTGTCATATATGTATAGTTTAATGTGATAGATCATATATGTATAGTTTATTTATTAGTAGTTTGTATATATTATGTAGTTAATTATCATTTGTATTGTGTTATCTTATTCTATATTGCCACACCTACGTCAAATTCTCACCACTCCATGGGTTGACTGGTAGAGAATGCCTCAAGGCATTAAGTCCGCACTTTGTATTCTTTTGTTAAGGATGCAATAAAGAATAAAATAAAAAAATATAATATGTGTATATACAAGGTTGACCTTAACTGTATTAGCGTTTTATTTCGTCTATAATTCAAAACCTTTAGAGGTACGGGGGCGCAGAGGCTGACAGTAGACGCGCCATTTCGTGTAATTTTTAGTCGCCATGGACGCGTTCTCGGGAGCACAACGTACGTGTTGTGTTCGCGCGTATTATATCAACAACAATTATGTGACTGTTGCTAGGCAAATATACCGCGTTCACTTCGGCTGACATGACATAAGGAAGGCACCATGCACAAATTCTATTCGGAAATGGGTTCGAAGTAAGTAAGATGTTCGAAGAAACCGGTTCTACAGTAAGAATAAATAATGCGGGCCGCCCAAAGTCAATACGGACGCTCGAGATTATTCAACAAATCCTCGACAATCGACTCGCAAAAGAAGCCAAATCTTGAACATCAAGAGGACCACTGTGCGCAGGATTTTGCACCGTGAATTGCAATTAAAGGCGTATAAAATTGAGTTGACACAAGTTGTTTTGCAAGTTGCTTATGTTATGCTGGAACGTTTTAACAATTTTGCCAACATAATCTTCAGTGATGGCGCAAACTTTCATGTCAACGGACATGTTAATAAGCAAAATTGCCAGTTTTGGTCCGAATGTAATGCCCGCAAGATGCATCAAAGATCTCTTGATAGCCCTAAGGTCATTGTGTGGGCTGGAATCTAGTAGAATAATTGGGCCAAATTTCTTTGAAAACCAAAGAGGAGTTGCTGTGACAGTGAGATCTCAGAATTATTGTCAAATGTTGCAAGAGTTTCTGGTTCCAGCTCTTCAAGAATTTCAAGGTTACAATTCTAAAACTTGGTTTTTTTACAGGATAGGTTGACAAACGAGCACACAGTCCACCTGATGGTAAGTGGTGGCTGCGACCCATCTCCATCTATCCTCGATTACAAATAAAAATGCAGATGCGTTGTCAGATGTTCAGTTGCACGCGGAACGGCAAAGCGCGTACATGTGTTCGCTTTGAGCGTAAGCGAAAGGTCATTGTACGATAAGACAATGGCGTCCAAAGTGGTAAAATGTACAAATTGTAATATTGTGATATGCGAAGTGCTTGCCTTTATACAAAACAAGGCAGATGTGATGGACGAGGAGAGCATTGTCCGAATTTGTAGTAGTGCTTTTACAGCTGAAGATATTACCAATGCAAAAAGTTTGCTATTCGAGTCATTGCCCTCAGGTAAAAGAAAAAATATAAGACGTAGAGATGGAAAATTAACTCGGCGTACAGATGGGAAATCCCAAAGTTAGAAGACATCATTAGTCTTTTCAAAGAAACAGACCCAGATAGTGCACCAATTTTTGTTGCTCGTGACCTACAAAAACTTCCGCCGATCACTTTCGATCATGTAGATGTAATTCGATTGCTGAAGGATATAGTTTTGTTGCAACAGGAGGTTAAGATCATCAAGGATAATTATGTAACCAAGACGCACCTGGAACAGCTAAAGAAAGATAAATCTTTCTTAAAAACATCCACATCACCAGCTCATCATCATAAGGTAGGTAGAAGATGCAGTGCCTTCTTGTTAGATGTGGGTACTACGTCCGGTGACAGTGGGTCGATGGGCTTGTCGCACGAGTTATCAACAGCTGATGTACCGTTACAAACAACTGACGTACAGACAGAGACGGAAAAGATATCTATCGCACAAGTAGCTAGTCGTGCTCGTGATAGTGTCGATGCACTTGCACCTGCGTCAGATATGCATAAAGCTGACCTCTTTACATCTGGAAGCGTGACTGCTTATAACGGTGCAGATGGGCGGCAATCATTCAGCGCAGGAGGCACTAAAGTAACTCCTATTCCAGTGCATAACTCACCGAGTAAAAGCAAGATGAATGATGACAAAACAATTGTAGTGAATAAGTATACTAACAATAATAACGCAATAAAAGATACATCTTGTGATGTTAATTTTGAGACTTCGCCAACTATGGCCGAAATATTGAAAAAAAGTTGAAGCTTGGAAAAATGAAGAACCGCCAGAGGCCTGGATAAAAGTTCAAAAGCGCAGATTGCGTAACCGTTTTATAGGTAAGACAGGAAAAGCAGAAATAAAACCTGAGGAGAAATTTAAATCAGCGGACTTGTAAATTCCGCTATTTATGTCTAACGTACATAGAGAGTCGCTAGAAAAAGATATCGTGGATTATATTAGGAATAAAACTAACGAGTTAGTAACACTAGAAAAAGTGACTATGAAAAAAAAAACAAAGGATATAATGCGTTCAAATTATACGTGTCCAAACAAAAACTTGCTATCTTTTAAATGACAGTCTTTGGCCGGATGGCATCTCATTCAGAAGATTTGTGCATTTTAAGTACAGATATCAGGAGGCCTCAGATAATGTGTTAAAAAAATCGTTCATGTATAGTACAGCAAAATTTACTACTTTCAACTGTAAATCTGTTAAACGCTCTTTGGTGTGACCATTGCGTTGTAACTGAGGCCGCAAGGCGCTCAGTCATAGATGTCACTGTACTGTATGATACCTACTGGTCGGATCATGTTCCATTGCTGATCGAGTGCAATATTAACTTATTGAGATCAAAAAATGTGGTAAGCTATTTCTGTAATAATAAAATAATTTGGGGTGTCAGAAATAATAACCAAATAGAAACTTATAACAAATTGTGTATTAAAAGACGTAAATTTTCCACAAGAGTTTGTGAATTGTTGTAATAATATATGTATTAATGATAATCACAAATTAATTTTAGATAATATGTACAGTAATATTGTTACTATTCTTAGAGAATCAGCTCAGGCCAGTTGTAATAACAAAAGGAATAAGAAATATGTTGTGGGGTGGAATAAACACGTTAGAGATGCCCACGGGGAGGCTCGACTTGCCTTTCAAACGTGGGTCTTATACGATAAGCCATCTTCGGGTTATTATTATAAAAAAAATGTGTGAAACAAGACGGAATTTCAAGTCAAAGTTAAAATGGTGTCAAAATCACGCAGAGCAATTAAGAATGGATAAGATCGCATCAAGTCATTCGCAAAAGAAATTTAAAGAATTCTGGAAACTTACGAATAAAGTGAATCCCAAGTCGAGCCTTCACGCTAATATTCAGGGTCACAACCAGCCTGGAGACATAGCCAATCTATTTAAAGAGCATTTTAAAATAGAGTCACAGCGGGATCCGTCATCGCGATTAATCGATGGTGAACGTTTTGCAGGTGGATCGTGTGTAGGTGATCTCTGCCAAAGAAGTTTCTGAAGTAATAAATTCTATGACTAGAGGTAAATCACCAGGGCATGATGGGCTTAGCATTGAACATCTGGTACATGCTGGTGCCCATCTGCCAGGAGTGTTGGCTATGTTTCTAAGTTTATGTATAGCTCATCAGTATCTTCCGACTGATCTCATGAAGACAATTGTGGTGCCTATCATTAAGAACAGAACAGGAGATATATCAGATTTAAATAATTACAGGCCAATCTCACTAGCCACCATAGTGGCTAAGGTGTTGGACAGTCTGCTTGACAGGAAATTGAGAAAGCTCATTCATTTGCATGATGCTCAATTTGGGTTCAGACCTGGACTATCCACAGAGAGTGCAATTTTATGTCTTAAGCAGACTGTTAGGTACTACACAGATAGAAAAACGCCGGTGTATGCCTGTTTTTTAGATCTATCAAAAGCTTTTGATCTAGTCTCTTATGACATTTTATGGCGAAAGTTACAGGAGGAGACTGACTTGCCCCAGGAAATTGTCTCCGTATTAAAATATTGGTATAGTAACCAAGTAAACTATGTTCGATGGTTAGCAGCTTTTCTGAGGGGTATGGGCTGGAATGCGGGGTGAGACAAGGAAGGTTGAGTTCGCCTACGCTTTTCAACTTATACATAAACCAGTTGATTGTGGAGCTCAGCAGCACTAAAGTCGGTTGTTCTATAGACGGAGTTTGCATAAATAACATAAGCTATGCAGATGACATGTGCTGCTGAGCCCCACGATAGGTGCACTCAGAAAGCTGCTAGGGATCTGTGAATCCTACGCAAAGAACCATGGGCTCAAGACAATACAACGAAGAGCGAGCTTATGGTTTTTAATTCAGGCACTAAAAGGCAGCTGTGCATGCCTACTGTTAAGCTCTGTGATAGTCCTTTGAACAGAGTCGTCAAATTTAAGTACTTAGGCCACTGGGTAACAGAGGACTTAGAGGATGACTTGGATATAGAAAGGGAACGCAGGGCGTTGGCTGTTCGCTGTAATATGCTGGCCCGCAGGTTTGCACGATGTACTAAAGAAGCTAAAGTTGCTTTTTAAAGCTTATTGTAGTGTTTACACATGCAACTTGTGGGTTAGATACACGCAGCGGACATACAATGTTTTGCGTGTACAATACAATAATGCGTTCAGGGTGCAGTTAGGATTGCCGCGTTATTGTAGTGCCTCTGCCATGTTCGTCGAGGCACACACGGATGGCTTTCATGCCATAATACGTAAAAGGTCCGCTTCATTGCTGTATCGACTACGTACCTCTACCAACAGCATCCTGAATACACTTGCTCATAGGTGGGATTCTGACATTATGAAGCACTGGTTGAGCCTACATATAAAATTGAATAAAAGTAAATAAATAAGATATTTGTAACGTAGGAGCGATATTTAATTTGTTAAGTTTAAAAAAATTAGTTTTAAGTAGTTATTGTTCTACTAACTAACATCTTTATGGACAAAGTCTGAAATAAAATATTATTCAATTTCTTGTAATTTTTAAATGTATAAATAAAAAATACAATAAGATTTATAGTTATTTTTTATTGCATATTGCCCTAGCCTGTGACCCTGCGAAGTGACAAGGTCAAAGATGCCTACTAAATTTATTGTTTAATTGCCGTTCGTAAAGTAGGGGGATATGATTTGAATTTAGATAGATTTTAATTAGTTTAATTTAAAATTTTTGTTTCTTTTTTGTAAAATATCAGTGCCATAGGCTTCAACTCCGTTCACGTGATACACCCTATTTTTTTAAAACGGTAAAAAAGGTCTTCCCAGTATATAAAAGAGAATCGTTTAACTCCAAATTTATTTAAAGAAAATTTGTATATATATATGTATTTTTCATTGGATAAGGTTTATATTTGTAAACTAAAATAATTGAATATTTTTTTAATTTTATTTGCTTTTTTTCAATCAAGCGCGGCTATTAATAAATTAAATTGCATGCGCTAAAATTATAAACGTTGCTGAATACAACCTATGATATTAACTGGCAGGACAATGTCTGCCAGGTTCAGCTAATACATATTATATATTAAATTTATCTTTCTTCACTCTTACCACAACATCACAACAGAATCGCTAAAATCATCTTGTTCATATACTATACAAGTACTGCAAACCTATAAAGCAAAAAGCACTCAAACGTTTAGTTTCAATTCCATAGGAATTGGATGACAAAATTATAACAAAATTTTTTGAATCTTTAAATATGACGAAAATGGGTTTTTCAGTGAAAATATTTAGTTCTGTAATTAAAGATGTTGCCCCTGTTCTTGCTTTTACCTTCAATAAATGTATAGAATATGGAGTTTTCCCTGATTTAATTAAATGAGGCAAAACAGTACTTTTATTCAAAGCATTAACAATACTAAAATCAATATGGTTTTGTAAAAGGCAGATCGACAACTGACGTTGGTTCTTCGCTTATCCAACATAACTTCGACGCATGGGAGAATTCACACAACGCGGTAGGCGTTTTTTGAGATTTATCCAAAGTATTCGATTGTGTTGAAAACACTACCTTAATTATGAAATTAAATCACTATGGTGTTGAGGATATGGCTCTTAAATTAATCGCGTTATATCTTAGCGTGCGAAATCAAATAGTAGAAGTCCATGGTATTAAGTCACAACATTCTAAAATAAAATAAGGCGTTCCGCAAGGCTCAATCTTAGGGCCATTTTTGTTTCTGACCTCTTAATGACCTCCCATATGTAATGAATAACCTAAGTAACATTGTATTACTTGCTAACGACACATCTCTAGGTTTTAAGATTGACAATTGAAGAACATAATTTAAGACTTAAACAATACTCTGACGGGCCGAGTATCAGATTGGTTCACAAAAAATAATTTTACTCTTAAACCTCAAAAAACTGAATGAATGATTGATGAATTGCCAAATTTGATATGTGGTGACTATAATATAATGTTAAACAACACTAAATTGAATATGGTCCAGTCCACAAAATTTTTAGGAATTACTCTAAATAAGAAACTGCATTAGAATTATCACATACCTTCGCTTAACAAAAAACTGTGTTCAGCGACTTTCGCTATAAGAAAAATTTGACAGTTGACGGCCATTGATACTGCAAGACTGGTTAACTTAACTGTGAGTCTGTGTTAGGTTGTTCCCAAAATGGAAAAAAAAACATAATCGTCGAACCGGCTGGTGGGCCGGCATTATTCGACATCATATTTCAGTATTGCAAGTTTAGAAAACTGACAAAATAAGGCTTTCTCTTTTTACACTAACAGAATCACATACGTTTGAAATATATATATATATATATATACTGTTTTTATTTCTGTATAGAATCATATGATGTTCCTATAATATATATTTTATATAGATCCTTATAGCACATCCTTTCTTATTCGTTGGTCATTATTGACGTTACCGCACACTTAATTGTTATTAAATTGTATATTTGCCCCCTCTTTTAAAGTAAAATACATACAATATAATATAACTTGATTCGCAGATGACTCCTGCTCCTGGCGAATTGGTGGCAGCGTTGTACCCGATGGACGACCAATGGTATCGCGCGCGTGTGTTGTCTGCCACGAGAGTGGATCAGAATGTTGAGGTAAATTGACTAAAAGAGTAAGTGATTAGAAACTCATTTCTTTTCTCTCAAATTGTCATAGCTTAACAGATCAGCACGCAAAAGGGACAATAGGTTAGCCATAAACTCGAAGAACCGACAAGTGATGTGAAAGAAATGTGCTCGGAGTGGCAACATAGTATCGATACGTGTGCGCTCTTCCTCCACTAGTTGGAATGACGATCTGGTAAGAGAATTCGGATTAAGATAAATGTAGGTGGCTCATAGTGTTTTGTGGAAAATATATAAATATATTTTATGTTAAGGAGACTGAGTATTCAACCAACTGGAGAGGTCATGCGCGTTAATTCCTAAACAAAAAGTCTGTCGATATCAGAGGGCGCAAGAAAAACACACTACTCATTATACACGCACACTACAACATTTGTGTTTGTGTTCATTGCATTTACGCATACCATCAAATTGTACACGTGTTGATACGCTGGTGCCGCTGTCTACATGCGTAAGCAACGTAAGGCAAGGTATATCGATATTTTTATCGATAAACAAATCATCATAGTCCGCTTATGTTCAGCGTTGGTAAAATTGATTTTTAGCATTTTTTCATTCATTACCTACAGCCCTTCACAAGTCCGCTGCTGAACATAGGCTACTTTTGTAGAAACTTTACATTGTAGAAAACGATATATTGGTGCAGGGAAGGAGGAAAGTGGTGAAGCGCAGCTTCTTTACGTCAGTATACAATTTTACAATTTTGGCGTGTGTATGAACTAATGCACGCCCACAGATCATTAAAGAGACAGTGTGAAGTGGTGTGGTGACGGTCTGCAGGTGATGTACATCGACTACGGCAATGTGGTGTGGGTGAAAGAGGACGGCGTGCGGGAGCTGGATGCGCGCTACTGGGCGCTGGAAGCGCAGGCGGTGTGCTGCTCGCTGGCTGGCGTACGTGCGCGCTCGTCCTGCAGCCGGCAGTGGGCCGCCGCGCGCGCGCTGCTGTACAACCTCGTGCACGAGCGCACGCTGCACGCGCGTGTCGTGTGAGTACATGGACGAGTGCGCCGCTCGTCCTGCAGCCGGCAGTGGGCCGCCGCGCGCGCGCTGCTGTACAACCTCGTGCACGAGCGCACGCTGCACGCGCGTGTCGTGTGAGTACATGGACGAGTGCGCCGCTCGTCCTGCAGCCGGCAGTGAGCCGCCGCGCGCGCGCTGATGCACAACCTCGTGCAGTGCACGCTGCACGCGCGTGCCGCGTGAGTACATGCACAAGTGCGCCGCTCGTCGCTCGTCCTGCATCCGGCAGTGAGTCGGCGCGCGCGCGTTTCTGCAAAGCCTCGCGCACGAGCGCACGCTGCACGCGCGTGATTGTGAGTACACGCACGAGCGTGCCGCTTGCCGCTCGTCCTGCAGCCAGCAGTGGGCCGTCGCGTGCAGGCTGCTGCACAGCCTCGCGCACGAGCACACGCTGCACGCGCACGTCTTGTGAGTACACGCACGAGCGCGCCGCTCGCCGCTCGTCCTGCAGCCGGCAGTGGGCCGTCATATGCGCGCTGCTGCACAGCCTCACGCACGAGCACACGCTGCACGCGCACGTCTTGTGAGTAAACGCACGAGCTCGCCGCTCGTCCTGCAGCCGGCAGTGGGCCGTCGCGTGCGCGCTGCTGCACAGCCTCGTGCACGAGCACACGCTGCACGAGCACGTCTTGTGAGTACACGCACGAGCGCGCCGCTCGCCGCTCGTCCTGCAGCCGGCAGTGGGCCGTCGCGCGCGCGCTGCTGCACAGCCTCGCGCACGAGCACACGCTGCACGCGCACGTCTTGTGAGTACACGCACGAGCGCGCCGCTCGCCGCTCGTCCTGTAGCCGGCAGTGGGCCGTCGCGTGCGCGCTGCTGCACAGCCTCGTGCACGAGCACACGCTGCACGCGCACGTCTTGTGAGTACACGCACGAGCGCGCCGCTCGCCGCTCGTCCTGCAGCCGGCAGTGGGCCGTCGCGTGGCGCGCTGCTGCACAGCCTCGCGCACGAGCACACGCTGCACGCGCACGTCTTGTGAGTACACGCACGAGCGCGCCGCTCGCCGCTCGTCCTGTAGCCGGCAGTGGGCCGTCGCGTGCGCGCTGCTGCACAGCCTCGTGCACGAGCACACGCTGCACGCGCACGTCTTGTGAGTACACGCACGAGCGCGCCGCTCGCCGCTCGTCCTGCAGCCGGCAGTGGGCCGTCGCGTGCGCGCTGCTGCACAGCCTCGCGCACGAGCACACGCTGCACGCGCACGTCTTGTGAGTACACGCACGAGCGCGCCGCTCGCCGCTCGTCCTGTAGCCGGCAGTGGGCCGTCGCGTGCGCGCTGCTGCACAGCCTCGTGCACGAGCACACGCTGCACGCGCACGTCTTGTGAGTACACGCACGAGCGCGCCGCTCGCCGCTCGTCCTGCAGCCGGCAGTGGGCCGTCGCGTGCGCGCCGCTGCACACAGCCTCGCGCACGAGCACACGCTGCACGCGCACGTCTTGTGAGTACACGCACGAGCGCGCCGCTCGCCGCTCGTCCTGCAGCCGGCAGTGGGCCGTCGCGTGCGCGCTGCTGCAGCCTCGCGCACGAGCACACGCTGCACGCGCACGTCTTGTGAGTACACGCACGAGCGCGCCGCTCGCCGCTCGTCCTGCAGCCGGCAGTGGGCCGTCGCGTGCGCGCTGCTACACAGCCTCGCGCACGAGCACACGCTGCACGCGCACGTCTTGTGAGTACACGCACGAGCGCGCCGCTCGCCGCTCGTCCTGCAGCCGGCAGTGGGCCGTCGCGTGCGCGCTGCTGCAGCCTCGCGCACGAGCACACGCTGCACGCGCACGTCTTGTGAGTACACGCACGAGCGCGCCGCTCGCCGCTCGTCCTGCAGCCGGCAGTGGGCCGTCGCGTGCGCGCTGCTACACAGCCTCGCGCACGAGCACACGCTGCAAGCGCGTGTCGTGTGAGTACATGCACGAGTGCGCCGCTCGACGCTCGTCCTGCAGCCGGCAGAGAGCCGCCGCCGCGCGCTGCTGTACAACCTCGTGCACGAGCGCACGCTGCACGCGCGCGTCTTGTGAGTACACGGACGAGCGCGCCGCTGCTGTCCTGCAGCCGGCAGTGGGCCGTCGCGTGCGCGCTGCTGCACAGCCTCGCGCACGAGCACAGCTGCACGCGCACGTCTTGTGAGTACACGCACGAGCGCGCCGCTCGTCGCTCGTCCTGTAGCCGGCAGTGGGCCGTCGCGTGCGCGCTGCTGCACAGCCTCGCGCACGAGCGCACGCTGCACGCGCACGTCTTGTGAGTACACGCACGAGCGTGCCGCTCGCCGCTCGTCCTGCAGCCGGCAGTGGGCCGTCGCGTGCGCGCTGCTGCACAGCCTCGCGCACGAGCACACGATGCACGCGCACGTTTTGTGAGTAAACGCACGAGCGCGCCGCTCGCCGCTCGTCCTGTAGCCGGCAGTGGGCCGTCGCGTGCGCCTGCTGCACAGCCTCGTGCACGAGCACACGCTGCACGCGCACGTCTTGTGAGTACACGCACGAGCGCGCCGCTCGCCGCTCGTCCTGTAGCCGGCAGTGGGCCGTCGCGTGCGCGCTGCTGCACAGCCTCGCGCACGAGCACACGCTGCACGCGCACGTCTTGTGAGTACACGCACGAGCGCGCCGCTCGCCGCTCGTCCAGTAGCCGGCAGTGGGCCGTCGCGTGCGCGCTGCTGCACAGCCTCGTGCACGAGCACACGCTGCACGCGCGCGTCGTGTGAGTACACGTACGAGTGTGCCGCTTGCCGCTCGTCCTGTAGCCGACAGTGTTATATTGGACTCGCACTGTTGACTGTTGAAAACTCCAGTGTTCGTCTTCGCTGCATTTTAGCAGGGCCGCGGGAACGTTTTTGCACACTTTCGCGGCCCCTCCAGTGGCAACCGCCCTGTGGCAGCCCCTTTTTGGAAGAGGACTTTTTCTCTGAATCCTGCTAAATCTAAATGACATGGTGAGAAATTGTATAATAAGAGAAAAGTGTGCTGTTAAGGAAGGAACGCTTTAATGGTTTGGTCATGTAGAAAGAATGAATGAGGAAAGATTGACAAAGAAAATTTATATTGTAGATTTGACGGTAGAGTCGGGAAGGGACGCCCTTGACGAAAGCATGTCGACCAAATTGGCGATATATTAAAAATGGGCCAGATTATGAGTACCCTAAACAAACGAGCGTGCATGCGTATATATATGGATGTAAAGGAGCCGAGAGAGGTGTGACAAGATCGTGCCAAATGCCGGAAGTCCGTAGTCTGGGTGAGAGGCGGGAGTGTTTATGTTATGTCTTACATCTAATTTAATTTATGTTTCCTTTATAGGGCACGCGACTACGACGAAATTACAGTTGAACTTTATGACGAGAATGAACTCAGCATAGCGGAACAGATGGCAGCCGGCAAATTGGTAGAATTGAAGGAATATACTATAGAGGACGACACTACTGTGAAACAAAAAGTAGTAGCACCTTAAGTATTTGTAATAAGTCACAATTTTGTTCAGCAGAACAAATTAATAAATTTTGTCTTATGATTCGTTGCGAAATGTGATTGTATCACTTTTATATTTTATGTGATACACTTAGTATAGTTATAATAAATTTTTTATAATTGTAAATAGTTACTTTTATAGAAGTAAAAATGTTAATCAACAATCGGACCCTTCAATATGACGAAGCTGTTTGGCCATTGGGCTTAACAATATACTTTTAAACATATGGGTAACGTAAGCACTAGTTCATTAAATATTAATGTTCCATCTATCCATCAATTAGAGCCCATAAAAGTCTACTGCTGTGTACACCGTTCTTTCCTCTAAACGCGTAACGTAATTAATGCAAGGGCCGTAGTACCCATGTTTCAAAATAATATATTATTCGGTCTCGTTACGTTCCATACTGCTAATAGCTCTTATGGCACAAAATAAATAGAAATACAATTTACTAAACAAACATTTAGCACAAGTGATGTAAAGTTTAGTTCGTAGATTTAAATAGTTAATAAGTTATAAAATATAGTTTGTTCTCTAAGATACTGTCGGTACAGGGAGGCACAAATATTATTTTGCTTTTATTTTATACTGTGTTGTTAAATAAATGGTTTCTATTTTAAGAATAAAATAGAATACTATTTTATTAACGTTGTAATAAAATACGAATAAAAATAAACACAAGCTAGGTAGCAAAGAGATATTAAATGAAAAATATGACTAAGTGGGTAAACATAAACGAAAGTAAAATAGACACTATTCTCGAACTCCATCACTCTAAGTGCCGTAGTCATTTACACCTGTGTTTATAATAAGGCATTCAACGTCATCACGTTCTGCATTCATACTAAAATAAAATAGTTTTTTTGTTATTGGTTCATTCAAAATTTCATCTTGAGGCACTTCACTTTCCTTCCCAGGGATGAAAAAACATTTTCTGTATACGTAGCTAAGTCAATAAAAATAAGCTTTCACTACGGCGTTTCGTTTTAAAATTCCAAATTAAAAAATTTCTACCCGTGTACGTAGCGCGACACAATGGCGACCGTGTCTAAGCGAACAGACCATAAAGAGTTATTTTGCAATAACCGGTCAAATTTGGAGAGAAGGTTCAGAGTAAGTAATAAAGGCAAATGGGGAAGAAAAATTAATTAAAAAAAATTCAAACAGTTCGTTTTTGTTGTCGTTTAAATTTAAAATGCGTGGTAATGCTTTATTTTAACTGATTTTATTGCGCACGCACACATTCGTAAGGGTTGAGCGGTAAGCAAAAAATAAAAGTTGAAGCCTTATTTATATATTTGAACTTAAGTTTAAAATTTGGCAACTTTTTTAAAAATAACGTATATTATAACGATGGTTATTTTTGCTTGTAACATGGTGAGAAACATTTGTGAATGATGAAACATTAATCGAATCTCGTATTCATATCGTTCGATCGATACGTAAATCATTGTTAGGGCCTAAGAATTTATCTTTTTACATTAAAAATGTATCCTGGCGTGTAGTTAGTAACCGAATGGAGGATTCGGACCCAAAACTTTTTAGTTTCGTAGCCCATATCTATAACGCGTGTAGTTAGTAACCGAATGGAGAATTCGGACCCAAGACTTTTTAGTTTCGTAGCCCATATCTATAACTAGAGACAATCCTAATTTTGACTTGTGTAGTGTAGCTTTATTTCGTATTGAAATATTGTATTTTATTTGGGTGATTTATTGGGATTTTTTTGAGAATAGTATATTATTCAGACTATGCAACATTGATGGCAGATACAAGCAAAATTATTACTAAAAATCTTTACTTATCCATCTGTAGGTATTTTCTGGGTTATGGCAACATTTAACTCCTTTGTAATGGATTCGAGCTTGTGCTAAATAAAACGTTCGCTTGTTGCGTTTCGTTTTCGGATAAAGACCACAACTACTACACAAATAATTAGATATAGCAGTTAACACACTGAGTATATGATAATAATCTCACGCCTAGATTTGAATATAGGCATATTTTAGTAGGTACTCGTACATACTAAAATATGCGTATTTGATATGACATGATATGTTTATAAAACTACCTATCGGAAGCTATGATCCTTTCACACATTATAAGCCGGACAAAATAAGATCTTTCAAGCGATAAAATCATTCTTGTGTTCATGTGACTGAAATTTTTGGCACGACCCATAGTCGCCTCTTACGGAAGTCACGGGACGAAATGGGATGAAAGGTTCTCTTACTCCACCACACGGTAATCTAGATCTCTAGATCACAATCACGGAATTAGTTCCTTTATAGATAAATAGATAGATCCTCTAATTTTAAAATTATAAATTCGATTTCCGAATTATAGGCGTTTATTGAAATAATAAGTGATTTTTAATTCGTAAAGAAACTTGTTATTTTTTTAATTTAACTTGGCAACAGTTATGGATTTTTCAGTTATGTTTTTGTTTTAATTAAGTTACATGTTACTTAGTTAATCTGTGTAATGTAACAAACATCTAAGCATAATTATGACCATAAGTTAAAACTAGTGCTTGAATAAAATATATCTTAATTTTTGTAACAACCTTTTTTACTAAACACCTTACCTACTTATTCATTATCATTCGTACATGATAGAGCCACGTTATATAAAGTTGTAGCAAAGAATACCAATGTAAAAAATCAGCAAGCATAATGCTGCTTCGATTCGTTTGGTGAATGTAGAGGACCGGAAACCCTTTTTACGAGGCATTCCATCCTTAGTCTAGAGTCACAGCATCCACTTACCATCAGGTAGACTCTGTGTTCTTTTATCACTCTTATTCTTTATACTGTTACGAGCTTAGGGTTCGTGACAATAAAAATTGCCGATAAAATTACCTAAATTAACACTTTAATTTACTTTACACAAATTAAAACTTAAAACACTAATAATTAAACACACTAATTCACTTTATTCTGCTCCGAAGCTTCGCTTGTGTCGCCAATTCCAATACTTCTTCGATCGCATCTTGCAGCGCCTATTTATATAAATTAGCAAAGAAGCATCCGGAATATTCAAGTAAATGCGCGAAAAGGGACGAGTGTGCGAGTGTAGATTTTCTAGAAACTTAGTTCTTCGGATGGCGCTGTCGGTTGAGTGATTTGTGATATCATTTTCTCAATGCTCCCCTCGCTCTCGTTCCTGACACTAGATAGCGCGAGTGTATCGTCGACTTGAGCGCGTAACAATACATAAAAAAATACTGATATGCCAAAACCAAAAGCATTGCCTAAGAAGACCCAACAGTTACGATACTACTCTTTCTTTAGCCGCAATCGTCTATTGGAATTTGAATAATTAAGTATTGCTAGTTTGATCTGATCAAAATGCGAGCCGACATCGACCTGTTTCTAAAAGAAATTTGAGGTTGTAATAAGTAATTGAGGTATTTCTCATTTTGGCTGATACTGCTTCTGCTACCAGTGGTCCTAAGCCTTTGTAATTGTTGTGCATAAGTTTGAAAAATAGCATCTGAAGACAAATCACACCTTCGTTAATTTTAATCAATAAGCGATCGACTTAAAAATGCACTGTAGAAATTTTTAATTGCTGAATTACCACGTGTTTGCAGAGAAAAAAAATAACATGGAGGAACCTGCAAGTCTAAAAACTTATACCATTTCGAGGTGAAGTATGCCGACAAACAGAACAGGGGTAGCGTGACGGACTCTTCTTAATTGTTATTTTCGGCCTTGGCCTATGAGCAGTGGTAGAATGTATATAGGCTTTAGTTTAACAACGGGTGGGGGGACCACATCTCAAGTTCTATGCTTGTTGAAATAGTTATTTATTTAGCTATTTGCGTGTATTGCTGAACAAAATTAGATAAAATTCATCTTGCCACACTAAATTTATCTTGCTCCACCCCTGTGGGGCTACCACAGTTCAGACTGCGAGTTGCTAGTGTTGCGCTTTCTTGTTCGAACTGCCACTTGAATTGTTTTCTCCAATGATTGATGATTTAATACAACATGATCGACAATTCTGTTCACATAATTATTACTGCTTGATTTATATACTACTCACCTATTAAGTTCACTGCTGAACATAGGCCTCCCTCTTAGATTGACTCATTCATCTGGTCTGGTTGACTGGGGGAAGGTCTTTCTGAGAGAACGATCTCTCAGTGTTGTCGTCGATGGCTGCTCGTCCAATCCTATCGCAACCATCGCCGAAGTTCCTCAGGGGTGTGTTCTCTCCGCAACTCTCTTCCTGATGTACATTAAAGATCTGCTTATTCCCGGTATTTATGGGTATACGTATGGCCACACAGTTATGGAGAGGTACCTGTCAAATGCTCGGGCCAGTCGGGATCAAATCCAGTGCGAAAGTGAAGCTATGGCTGAGCATGCGAATCTCACACTGCAGGTAGTCTCCGAATGGAGCGATGGCAATCTCGAAAGATTCACGCCTCCAAAACACAATGTCATCCTGGCTCATACTTTCCGGAATGTATCATTGGAGTACACTGACCTTCAATTATTAGAGGTTGAAATTTCTCTGAACCTCAACGGACGGTTCATTGCGTACAGGGTCAAAGCGGTCGCAAGAAAATTAGGTGACCTTGCAAGGGTGCGGCGGTACTTCACACCGGGGCAACTTCTTACCTTATACAGGTTGTTTGGAAGTTCGATGCAAAGCCTTAAAGCGGAGCTAGTATAGACTATTCAGAACCATTTGAACCCAACTTGTCTCAGACGAAGTGCGGCTATTATTTTTTTATCAAGCTTTAATTATTTTTTTGTTAAGCTGGAGATGAAATTAAAAATAACAACAACAGAAGTGAGAAGACGGGCCCGTGCTTGTGTTAGGAACCGAGGCGAAAATTTTGAACACAAATAATAAATGATTTTAAACAAAATTTTGTTTTAATTATTTCGCCAATGAATTATAATTTTCACCCTCTATTTAGTTTGTAGATGATGCCTCAAAAGAAAGAACAATAACCAGGCATGTTTTTAAAAATGTTTGAACAAAAGCAACACCATCCGTATTTTTTAATGCCGTCAAAGAACAGCTTTCCTCAGTCTTTAAATAAATCATTGACTTCAAATATCTGTAAAAAACTTATCTCATGACACAGATGCCTGAATCATGTTACATTAGACTGTTTACACATTACTTTAATAAAATGAAATAAAAAGTAAATGTTTTGTCTTTCAAACTGGCCACAATTTACAACTAACTCCAAAATTTTGGGTTTTGTCTTCAAAAATCATTAAAGCTTGATAAAAATAAAATGGTCGTACTTCGTCTAAGACAAGGTGGGTTCAAAAGGTTCTAGTCTATACTAGCTCCGCTTTACGGTTTTGCATCGACCTTCCAAACATCCTGTATACAGCACAAGCCCGGCCGAGCGTGGTACGTACTGCTGTCACAAATGGGCTGGTGCTGCAAAATGCCACCTAGCAGTGTTGGACTCAGTGAAGAGATGTGCTAAGAGGCTCATTGGAAACCTTGATTTGGTAAAACCAATTTGTCAACCTAGAGCTCAGATTCATTTCTTATTTATTCTATTCAAATAAAACATAAGAATTAGGTTCAATTTACATTGGGCGAAATGGAATGGAACGGAAGCGTCAATTTCGCCGCGACGCGGAAAGTGCGCGGATGAGCATTCCCGCGACTTCGCCTTGGGCCTATACGACAATCGCTTTGGGGCTGTAGAAAAGTTAGTCTAGATTCCACGTCCTTAGCGCCACTTCTATCATCGCACATTTTAACATAAAGCTTATTTTACTCGTACTATGTAAAATTTCGTTACAAAAATTCGCTTCCATTCCGTTCCGCAGCAGTGTAAATTGAGCCTAATGGTGACCACACACGGTCAGTTAAACTGATCAGTTCAAACTAAAACAAAAAAATTGTTGATATTTTTTAAAATATCGGATTTTCGATATAGCCATAAATAAACTTATATGTAACTCCGATATTAATAATGATCGATATATATCAAAAATCCACTATTTAAAAAAAAATCAACAGTTTTAGTTTGAATTGATCAGTGATCAGTTGAACTTGAAGTGTGTGGGGTCCATAAGAAAATAAAATTACGCAATATCAATAAAACACAATATTTTAGGCTGATTAAAATAATATCTTGTATATATTTTTATTAAATTAATTTATGTTTATGGTATGGGAATAAGAGATATTAAAATAAAAAGATCTTTTTTGAATCAGATATATTAATGAAATATGTATTATTCACAACTCTGTATATACAAGAAACATAACAGGGAGATTTATATAGTCCAATATCAGAGACTACTGAAATTTAAATTGCAGCACAAAAACCTATTCTATATAACTCTTTCATTTACATAAACAATATCTAAACATTTGATTTTGAAATTGTATTACACCATAGTGATTACATTATTCAGATTCTACAACATCACAGATATTTTAATTTGAAGTACATATCTAATACATGATGCTTAGCCTAAGTGATGATTACAATTTTATTAATGAATCATAATACTAAAACCACACAGCATAATATGATAATTATAATTACATTCGTAATGATATGATCAAAAATACAAAAAGCTTTGTAATTTTATTTATAAATGTTCAAATATATTATCCCAGAAGTTTTAAGTATTACTAACATAATTTAAATTTCATAAATAAAAATTTTACATTATAATGTTTCATTTTATTGGTTTTTAATTACACCAGTTTACAAAATTTCACTTTGATTTTTATACCCCAAAATAAATGTATATAAATATGTTAATCTACCTTCTTTATACCTAAAAGTGTTGCAGAAATATTTTATCACGTCACAATTTCTTCCTGCAGTCAGTTTTTTTTAACTACCTAATGTGGTGTTCGCTTTAAACGACAATTATATTGTTTCCATTGATTTAAAAGTTCTGATCGTTTTTGTTATGTTAGTGGACAGTTTTTTTAAAAAAAAAGAGAACCCCATTGCAGATTTGTTAAAAAGTGCATATCTTCATTATTTTGGATTTTCTGTTGCAAATCAAGATAAAAAGTGGGTGCCTCATGTGTTTTGCGAAAGCTGTAGAAACATCTTATTCCAGTAGTCATCAGGAGAAAATGTTCACCTTCCATTTGGTTCACCAATGCTATGGTATGTTATTGCGATTGCAGGGTGGTTACACAAAATACTGTTTCTTTTGTTTGTGGGACAGTAGATCGAAACAACATCATTATGTCAGAAAAGAATGGCCTATTCAGAATGAGTATATTCTGGGCAAAATGAACATTAAGCACAAGCCGTAGATAGATCCCAATAATTCATTACACAACAGTGATGCTTTCCGGTATTTAATAAAAATCTTTCCAAACATTACAGAGGGAAAACTGAAAGAGGGTATATTTGTTAACCCACAAATCCGTAAAATTATGAAAGATTCTCAGTTTGAAAACCTTTTATTTGTTAATGAAAAATCTATTTGGAAGTCATCCAAAATGGTTGTGGAAAATATTTTCGGAAATAAAAAAAGTGCAAATTACAAAGAAATTGTTACCGATTCAGTGGAAACTTTTCAAAAGATGGGAGTAAACTTGTCATTAAAGATTCCTTTTCTGCACTTGCATCTGAGTTTTTTTCCCTAAAAACTTAGGAAGTAACGTTTTCACCAAGATTTAAAGGTTTTTGAAGAACAACATCAAGGGTTTTGGGATGAAAATATGTTAGGGGATTACTGTTGGTCTCAGGTCGTTGGTTGGTCAGAAACTTATTCAAATAGGTATAAAAAGAAGGCAAAAATTAGTCTTTTTTTTTAGTATTAATACCAAAATTTGTATTTCAGTTAAGTTAATAAATATTACCTAAACCAGACATGACAGAATTTTTTTATTATTTTTCTAGATAATTCTACCGAAACAAATAACAACTTTCAGTTGGGGTATGAAAACCGTGTAAACTAGTGTTATTATTTATATAACTCAAATCCATTCTTAAATTGATTACTTTATTTAATACATAATAGCATGTATTGTTTAAAAGCCGAATAGTTATTGACTAGTGACATTTTACATGCCATTTTACCACTAGCTAATCTAAAGCTATCTTATATATAATATACACCAAGCATAGCAAACTTTGGCATGTGTTTATTAACAACTCAAGGCAAGAATAAGACTTAACCATGTGTTGGAATAAACATTTTTTCACACATAGCTATATAATATTATAGTCTTCAAATAATTATAGCTTTAGAATTATTTAAAGTTCTGATATAAATAACTTTGGCAATTCAGATTCTAAACGGATAACTCTTACAATTGAAGTTAAACGCCAGTTATCAAATGGATTGGAATTCTTTGGTGTATAAGATTCAGGTGCTATGAAAGTACTGTAATAAGAAATTAACTCATGGGAACGGTCACCATCTAGGTCAGCAATCTTCAAAGATTGAACTTGATATTCAAGATCTGGCTGACAGCTAGGCAATGGTAGATTTTTCATAGATTCACGCACACAAACCTGAATTATATCAGTCTGACTTACATTTACATGATGTGTTTGTTTTTTATCAAATGACACCAACACAATCCTTTCAGATATATCATGTGCAGTGAAATTAGTATACTTTATGAATGATGCAAGGGAAGCCACATTTATCATTGGCCGGTAATAAAACATATTCTTTGGACTTTGATTTTGTACATTATATCTTACCTCATCAATTTTCTGTGCACCATTTGCTAAATGGGCACTATTCCACTGTCATAATTTCAATACAAAACCACGTATAGAATTTGTGAATGCAAACGAGCTTGGATTCATAGCAAACACATGATTTGCCGCATATTCCCAACTTACATTTGTAGTTCCATTTTGTTCTAATAACAGTGTCAAGTTTACCCTGCAAGAGTTTGGACATTCACCTGAATTTTCTACAATAAGTTTTCCTGGTCCATTATTAAATACTTTTCTTGTATTGCCTATTTTCTTTTTTAAACTTAAATTTGGTTTTTTTGGAGCTGCCGAAGTTTTATCTGCATGGTACATGGATAATTTTTTGAGTAGTTGCGGATACAGAATATGTCTCACAGCTTCGGCAGGTCCATTTTTACAAAGATATGTTATAGAAACAGATTCCACTAGCAATTTTACCGACATACAATCTGGAATTAACAATGGACCACCAATAATGTTTCCAGTTGCACCTGAGATAAGCAGTAGTGTGTTGTGATTTGTACTTGGATAGACTGTAGCTATTGTGAGGAGATCCACTACACCATCCTTATTGGTATCATTCACTACTATTGGGAAGTCTATTGCAGCAATATCACTAGAAACATTTCCATTTTTATTAACATGCCAAAAATGGGTACCTGATAAAGCATTCAAAGCAGCTAACAATCCCTCAGACCCAGCAACTATACAATCCTTTTGCTTATCTTTATTTACATCAACAACATTGCAATTAATTTCTGTAGGTATTCTCTTCTCCCTAGTGAACCATCCTACTTCTCCAGTATTACCAACAATAAGCAGTACCCCATTTACATTGTCACTGTTACTTGAACCCTCATGCTTCATGTGATTACCTCTATAAATAAATATTAAATTTTTGGTGTTAGGTATAGCACCATTCACCACTTGAATTGCTCCAGAAAGCTCCAAGTCATAATATGGTAATTCCCAGCTGGTTGTCTTGTCATGCCACTCATTATTAGGACAACTTCCTACATCTGAGCACGGTATACCCCATAGAAATATTACTACTGTAAAAACGCACATAAATATAGATGCGACAAAAGCGCAACGACGAGGTAAAGACATTTTATTTGAAGCATCAGATTGCAGAAAACTTACATTGTCCATCGTACTTTCTAGTGTATTAACATTAGTATTTAAGTCGTCCATGTCACTCATGCTATAATTCTTGGTAGATTGCAGTCCACTATTGTAATCCAAATTATTACAACTGTCTGTAGCTCGAATATGGACAGCATTTTCTAGTTTATGATCGTCTTCGGATTCAGAATCTGAAAATGTTTGTTTCAGCGGTGCATAATTAGCGCCGTTTCCATTTGCTGTCATGGCTTTTAATGCACAACGTATCTCTAATACTGATGTGATTGTTGTAATTGCATTATTCGGTCTCAAATCTCAACCGTTGATCTCAACCATATACTAATACAATATACCTAAATTTAAATAAATTCATATTTGATAAAATCAATATCAAGCATCAGCATCACAAGAGCAACACATCACAAACACGAACCATAGATAAATAGATATATACGTAGACAGAGAAAAAAATACGTCACTATATTTAGAGTTACAAGTGTGAGGAAAAATTTACCCCAAAACTAGCTATAAAATTAGAAATTAGTACGTGAAGTAAGCCTGAAATGGAAAACTGCTATTAACGATTATCATTGATATTGTTGCGTGAATAAGTCAACTAGCGTCATCTAGTGTCAGGAACGAGAACGAGGGGAGCTTTGCAGAAAATGACATCACAAATCTCTCAACCGACAGCGCCACCCGAAGAACTATGTTTCTAGAAAATCTATACTCGACCACTCGTCGCTTTGCGCGCATTTACTTGAATATTCCGGATGCTTCATTGCTAATTTATATAAATAGGCGCTGCAAGATGCGATCGAGGTAGTATTGAATTGGCGATACGAGCGAAGCTTCGGAGCGGAATTAAGTGAATTAGTGTGTTTAATTATTAGTGTTTTAAGTTTTAATTTGTGTAAAGTAAATTAAAGTGTTAATTTAGGTAATTTTATTGGCAATTTTTATTGTCACGAACATCAAGCTCGTAACAATTGGTGTCAGAAGTGGGATAAAATCATGCCGATTTTACCTAAGGAGGAAACGGAGGGTGTCCGTACCCGAAGTCAACGCCAGCAGGAGACGGACCAAAGAAGATTTGGTGGTGCAACGTCGCAGACTTCGGAGGGACAGCCGCCGGCTGCAGGCCCGTCAGTAGCTCCTACATCTGCATCACCTGACTTAGGTGTTCTGATGGTGATGCTGCAGGAGCAGGCTCGCCGACAGGAGGAACAGGTCCGTCGGTTGGAAGAGCAGGTGCGGGGCGGACAGGATGAGCAGGCGCGCCGACAGGAGGAACAGGCCCGTCGGTCGGAAGAGCAAATGCTCCTCATTAAGGACCTTCATGCTACCTTTGGGAAAGAGATAAAGGAGGTGAAGGATAGGGTTGCTCAACATGACAACCGCCTGTCGGAAGCTGAAACCCAAATCAAGGAAGCTAAAACCCAAATCGACCAAGTGAACAATCGGGTTGATTACGTGGTGGCTGACGTGAAGAAAACGCTGGACGACCTCAAACTGGGTGATGGAACTACAGCTCCCGTAGTAGCTACTACATCTTCGCTACGTGGGTTCAAAGTGCCACCGTTCGACGGGACTTCTTGCTGGTCAGCCTACAAAATCCAGTTCGAGGCCGTCATGGAGGCAAACGGCTGGAATAAAAGCCAGGCCATGACTGCACTCACCTTAGGCCTGCGCGACCAAGCCTTAACCGTGTTGGAAGCTCTCGGTAAGAAAGTGACCTACGAGCAGCTCCTTGAGGCATTGGAGGCGAGATATGGCGACGCTCACCTGGAACACGTCTTTCGCGCGCAGCTTAAAGATCGCGTGCAGCGCAGCAACGAAAACCTGCAGCAGTGGGCCCTTGAGGTGGAGAAGATGGTTCGAAAAGCATACCGGTGTGTACCTGCGCTCATTGAAGGGAACCTGGTGCAGACATTCATCGACGGCATCCGTGACCTGGAAGTCAGAGCTGCTGTGAGGCTCGGGCACCACGAGACGCTTAAGGACGCCTTGGCCCATGCACTGGAGGTGGAAGCCGTGCGGCAGGATCATCGTTCCCATCGCATCAGGGAGGTTGCAGCAGCTACAGTTCGCGACCGCAACATAGAATACAGCCCTAGGTGCTATGGCTGTGGGGAAAGGGGCCATCTTCGGTCCAGCTGCCCTAAGCACACCCTAGGAAGGGAAGGTGAACGGTCTCAGAAAGGAAGTGCGGCTAACAGCACCGCCCAGCAGCAGCAGGAATACGACTTTACTATCAGACACTGCAGCGGGAAATCTCACGGCAACGCAGATGCATTGTCAAGAAGACCTTGTCCTGAAGATTGTAAACATTGTAGTAGGCAAGAGAGTAAGGAAGTGGTATCCGTGAGGATGCTCAGGACAGACCACCTCAGCAACGGTGGAAGGACAGCCTACGACATGCACAGCAGGAAGATCCGGACATCAAGCCGATTCTGGGATGGATGAAGGCCCGTGCTACCAAGCCTAAGTGGAGGGACGTCTCAGTGATGAGTTCAACCACGAAAAGCTATTGGGCCCAATGGGACAGCTTGCTGCTTCAGGATGGGGTCCTGTGCCGTAAATGGGACAATGGTCGAGGAGACAGCTGTCGTTTGCAAATGGTTGTCCCTAAAGCTAAAGTGCCGAATGTTCTACAGCTGTGCCATAATGGTCGTTCAAGAGTCCATCTGGGAGTTAAACGAACTCTACTGAAGGTCCGAGAACAGTTTTACTGGGTCCATTATCGTGACGATGTCGAGGATTGGTGTCGTACATGTACAAGTTGTGCGGCAGTGAGGGGACCTCAGACACGGAGTAGAGGAGCATCGAAATTGTACAATGTTGGTTGCACCACGGGATAGGACATCCCTTGACATTGCGGAGCCGTTACAGAAAGGCGCAAAGGGGACTCCTAAGATCGTCCATGTGGATCGCTTGGCGCGTTATTATGGGACCGTTAATCCTCGGGACGAGCATGTCTTAGGAGGGGGCAGTGTTGCGTGAATAAGTCAACTAGCGCCATCTAGTGTCAGGAACGAGAGCGAGGGGAGCTTTGCAGAAAATGACATCACAAATCTCTCAACCGACAGCGCCATCCGAAGAACTAAGTTTCTAGAAAATCTATAATCGACCACTCGTCGCTTTGCGCGCATTTACTTGAATATTCCGGATGCTTCATTGCTAATTTATATAAATAGGCGCTGCAAGATGCGATCGAGGTAGTATTGAATTGGCGATACGAGCGAAGCTTCGGAGCGGAATTAAGTGAATTAGTGTGTTTAATTATTAGTGTTTTAAGTTTTAATTTGTGTAAAGTAAATTAAAGTGTTAATTTAGGTAATTTTATCGGCAATTTTTATTGTCACGAACCTCAAGCTCGTAACAATATGTATTGTAGATAGTGGATTGTAGTTAATGGAGAGCTAAGTGGACTCTATTTGACTAATTATTTATTATAATTTACTTTGGTGAAGAAAGAAGAAGCTAAAAATTGTGATATCTATCCGACTAATAAACTTAAAAAAAACTATAGTGTAAATGAATGAGAGCTAAGTAGACTGTAGTTATTTTGGTTTGGTGTAAATCTTGAAGAAAAAAATACTGAACTAACTGTTACCAGCCATTTGTCAACCTTGCTACCTGCGTGAAATAATTACCTACAATCGCGAGGCATCCAGGGCAGGCCCCTGTTACTCTTGCTACCTGCGTGAAATAATTACCTAAAATTGTGATTTGGGTTAATTTGGGTGTAATACGCAGTCGGGGCTAGCGCGTTGTGGGCAATTGATGTATTTTAACGCTGTTTAAGTAAATAGTTTTTTGTAAACACTTGTTTTATTTTATTTTTTAGCGTTTAGTAATTAAATGTAGGATAAAACAGTTCAGAAACTTAATGTGGTTTAAAAATAACATATGTGTATATTACATTCACTTATATATTACTAGCGTAGTATATTACCTATCTATTTGCTAAATTATAATGGCAAAACTTCGAACCTACTAAAATTGTTGCGTAGATGGATGCATAATGAGCAAACAAAAGGATTCAGATAATGTCATTTTTTATGTTAGGTACCTAAGGATAATGAAAGGTATATTAATTTCATTTATTTGTCAAATAAATAATTATAGCAAAAAAAGAATTAAGTAATAATTTAAATACAGAAGTAATACCTAAGTACTTTATTACAAAACTTAGTTGAAATTTACGTAGGTAACGTACGAAATTTACGAAATTTATTTAATCTCGATTCGCGACGAGTGACCTTGCACGTTGCATGCGTTAGGCACAGAATTCGCATAGTAGCATAAATATGTTCATTCGATCAGTCAGAATACCTTACCTATTTTACTTACCATTTCGCAACATATGAATGAATCTATTTATTGCACACAAAATATAAATTTATGTACAATTAGGTGACCTCATCGCTTAACGGTGATCTCTTCTAGGCAAACCTCGGTAACGTACGAGTAGCACTACATATTATTTATTCTATGCCTTGGTGAAGGAGATCCGTAGTTTGCATAAATAGTAGATAAATGAGCATATATTAATACATATTATAAGCTTAATAAGTACCTACTTACATGTGCTTTTAATATGGTGCAATATCTATTATCGGATATTATTGCCTGTTCCTATATTCCACTTAATTAAATGTGGAATCAAATCACCTTTGAAAATTATCGTGGAATTGGAGAGGTTTGTGATTCTTATTCATACCTATATTGCATACAAATTGTTCTTGAGTATTGAGTTGTTCTTGAAATTTATGGTATTCACTGCGATTGCGCCTGGTGAATGGAAAGCGGGCTAACATTGCAGTTTTTAATATTAAAAGTTTTCAATAAATTATAAACTTCTAAATTGTCGCTGTGAGAAATCGAACCCGGGATTTCCCGGATTCCACCACAGCGCTGATAAACAAATCAATGGCTTCAATGCGCTAAATCCTTTTCAATTCGACGACAAAGTTTAAAAGAAAGGGAGCGTTTAGTATTATGTAAGCAGGTTCGGGGCTTTAAATTTTTTCTTACCTTTGCTGACAAAGGGAGCGGGGGGGGGAATATATATTAAAAATCTTAGGTTATATTATAATTGTTATATTTATAATTAAAATTAATAATACTTTTTTATTACTTCTAGTTAGTATACTGAATGATTATGTGTTTTCATATTTTTTACCAAAAATAAATAGATGACTCTTCCGACACTCCATGTCCATGTTTTCCTTTTATTATTTACTAAAATTATATAAAAGATTTAAAGTTATATATATATATATATATATATATATTAAAGTAAAACAATTGTGAATTAAATAATTTATTAATGTTATACATACTGTATTTTTACTCTTTCTTGACAACCCTAAGTAACCTCGAAAAAACAGCCGTGATGTGGGAATGGGAAAAGATGCAAAGTAATACTTAATAAGAATTATGTAGGCTATTAAACGTCGGTAAGCAGTCAACATCAAAAGAGTGAAATTTCTGTACGTAGTACTATTATTTATTCTGTGCCCAGGGTAACGTACGCAGTCGGGGCTAGCGCGTTGTAGACGATTGAATGTTTGTTTTGAGGATTTTTCAACGCTGTTTACGTTAATAGTTTTTTGTAAATACTTGTTGAAATAGCCTTTGTTTAGTGTTATATATATATTATTTTACCTATTTGATAAATTGTAGTGGATAAACATCGTTCCTACTACAGTTGTTGCGTGGATGGATGCTAAATGCCCAAAAAAAAAAGGTTTCAGAAGGAAGTTATGAAAGGTGAACTTATTCCATTTTTTTGTTAGATAGGTACTTATAGCAAAAAAGAATTAAGTAATAATTTATCTACACAAGTAATGCGTACTTTATTATAAAACTTAGTTGAAATTTACTTCACTATCCAAGTATCTACATACTTACATACCTATATATGTCTTTTGTAATTAAAATATTTTAAGTTATAATAACACAAAACACTGAAATTAAAAGTTTGTTTTCTAACAAGATTTTTAACTGAGTAGAATACGATCACATTTCTGTTAGCAATCGTATCTCAGGTTTATTTGTTATGGCCTTGCTAGTTGCAAGCGTTGAGCATCGTAGAAATCACATAGGTGCGAAAATATTGTCAATTGATCATAGAATAAGTACTTCACCTAAGTAACTTAATTAATATTTCGCAATGTATTATTTAACTCTTTTTTATAGACTCTACGGCGGCTGACCGTTAGCGGTCAGCCGCCGTAGAGTCTATATTACCTGAGGATGCCTCGTGTAGAGGCGAAACACGTGTCGTATTATCGTCGATGGTGTGTCTTGCCTGGAATAGTGGTGTTGAGAGTAGTGGTGCTTGGTCTAGTGGTGACGGAGTTAGTGTATGCAATTGAGGGAGGGCGGGAGGTGCGCTTCAAACCAGGTAAGACACATCATTTTATATGTTTAGCGGAAAGTTGCAAAGAAATTTATATTTTTATTTTTTATTATAATGGATTTCCGCAAAGTAACGCCTGATTCTATCAATTATAAGACTAATTATTTACTGAGAGAATTTATTGCTATTTTAAACTGCTAGGGGTTGAGTTAAATTAAAGATTGTACAAAAAACGAAAGTAAATTTATTAAAATATTTACACAATGCGGCAGTCTTACAAGCTATCACTAATCTGACGTCCAATGGGACCTGATAGGGAGCCTGAAGGGTCTTCTTGCTTGTTGTTCTTCTCTTGAGCGCTGTCCTGTCGCGAATGTCGTACGCCGGCCGGGAGCCCTTCTATCATTCCCGTCGACGGGGTCGCGTTGGCGCTGAGTTTGTGTAACTACTCGCGGTCGCGGGGGCCTCGCTCTGATGCAGGGTGAGGGAGACGTGTCGATGCGGGATGAGGTACGCGGGGTGACGGGCGGTTGCTCACTCGCCGTCCGTAACATATTGCTATTTATTATTGCTAAGGACTGTATTAATTAAAAAGTAGTACGATGAACTAACATTAATTTATTTACTATTTACAAAATGCGGCAGTTTTTAATTATAATCTTCACTATTTTATTGCCTAATCTAATGCCTAATAGGGGGCTTGAGAGATCTCTTTTCTTCGTGTTTTCTGGAGCACTAGTCTGCCGCGAATGCCGACGCCGGTTTTTTTTTGCGCCCAGAAGCAATGTAAAGGGCTACCCTCCGGGAAGCAGGGGAGGGAGGTGGTGAATGCTCTTAGCATACCACGCAGCCGGCTGCGTGGTTATGTGGGACTCACTATGAAAACCTAAGTGCCTACCCAATAAACACCACCTTGGACAGAAGACTCAGCCTGAGCCGCCAAGAGGGTCTGGGGATCGCGGGTTCGAATCCCGCACGGAACAAGTATGTAAGCACGGAATAAGTAAGTATGGCCTACAAATAATTGTTCCGGGGCTGGATGTTTGTCCTTGTGCAATTTATGTTTGTAAACTGCCCCCACGATACAGGAGAAAATCCTAGTGTATGGGTAACGTTTTTAAAAAAATCAAATCAATTAGAAATAGCTTGGTAGCGATCACCCTTCTGTCATCCATAAATTCCTTAATATTATAATAACCATTTTTATATAAACTTAGTTCAATAAAGTTTTTGAACTTTGTGTATGTCAAATTTTGTATATTTTCTGGGAATTTGTTGTAAAAGCGTATACATCGGCCTAAGAATGAATTACTGACTCGGTCGAGTCGAGTAGGACAATAACCCTTTAAACAAAACAAAATTCGTATGAAGGTTCCTAATTTTTTGCTTGGGTTCAAATGCTTTTGTGGCGTGATGTATACGCAGTTCAAAATAGAGCATGGAAATTGCCTTAATAAGTAAAACTATTTGGTTTCCAATAATGCCCCATTTACATTCAGCCCTGTTGGGCAGGGAAGTGAGCAGGGCAGTGGGCAGGGCAGTATGTAAACGGGCTACTCGCGCTGACACTGCCGCTGCCGCTGCCACTGCCCGAAATGTCGGTTTTTCGTGCGGAAGTCAAAGGACGGGCAGCGCGAGCGGCAGTGAGTGTTCACATTCAGCTCCATCGCTCACTTCGCGACAAGCGCCTGGATGAACGGACGTGCGTGCCGTCCTGTTATTAAATAAATACGATCTACCAAAATGCCTTTCGAGTGGATTAATGAAAATACAATAAAGTTTTTAGAACTGTTGGAATCGGAGAAAACTATATGGGATTTCAACGATAAAAACCACAATTCATCATCTTCTACGAATACGAAATTTCTTTTTGAGTTAACATAGTACTTATGTACATAATTAATTATAAGTTCGTCAAATTTATTATATTAATATAAAATTTAGTTCAAGGAATTAATGAACATTGACATTTTATTTCTAAAAACGATTAGTAACTCATATTGACTATTTATTAATTAAAATGTAAAATAAGTTAAAAGGTAATATTTGCATAATAGCCTGAGATTTTTAAATTATAATTTTATTGTAATTAAAATTACGAATTAATTTATACTGTAGTGTAATTATTAAAATAATAATAGCTTAACTAATCTCATATAATATTTAATATTATTTATGTAACAATAATATAATAATTCAATTAATAATTTGTGAATCATTTACTGTATAAGAATTCAAATAGAGTAGATCTGTATATAAGTATTTAATTGTACATAATATTTGAATTCAAAAAGAATGTTTGTACCTAACTTTTAAGCAATGCAATAATTTTAAAACGTAACATTGGGTTTGTGTAATTAGCTGTATTTCATATCATTTTTGCATGCCAATTATGGCAAAACATGTCAATTCCACGTCATTGATCATCTTATGTACCATGTTTTTAAGAAAATAAATTTTCTATCTATCTATCTATCTTCTTTTGAACTTGATATCTTTTTAAATTATTAACATAATTTTGTATTGCAAGAAGACACAGCGCGGACGCTGTAATTATTTCGACGTCCGCCATAGTCGAAAGCCAAAAGCGATGTGAGTGGTAGGGCAGAGTGTGAATACACACTTCCCGCGATCCTGCTACGGCAGTATGCTTATGGGAAGTATTGCCGGCAGCGCGAGGAGCATTGGCAGTGGCTGAATGTAAATGGGGCTTAAAAGGTTGACTTTCAAAATGATTTGTCGTAAATATATCCTGGCATCGTTTGAAAGTTGTTAAAATAAGTTTCGGTAACTAAAATAATTTTTCTGCAAAGAATGATACTTCTTTATGTGAATGTATCATAAATATTCTTTCTGCCAACGTACATACTTTAATAACATCGCGTGAAGGATAAATAAGGCCACCTTTATCTTTTTTAAATATAAGACCTAAATATTTGTCGATTCATCCTGCCCAACTCCAAACATAGCCATCTTCATAGCTCGCTGAGCGAACTTGAGTTTCCTCTCCTCATACGGCCATCAGGGAAGGACCACGTTTCAGATCCATAAGTCATCACTAGCAACATGCACTCATCGTATAATCTCGTTTTAAAGTTTTGAGGTATACCTGACGAGAAGATGTGTCGTAATTTCCCGAACTCTGATCAGCCGAGTTGAATTCACTCTCAGTCGAAGTTGGGCTTACTTAGTCAGACTATTTTCCCCAGGTAAACATACTCGTCAACAACTTCGAGCTTAGTGCTCCCAACATCTACTGACATAGGTGTGACATGCAAGTTACACATGATCTTTGTTTTGTCCATATTTATCTTAAGACTTATTCATTGGAAGGCATACTACTGAGGTCGTTGAGCTTAGTGCCTAGTTTCTCCAGCGACTCTGCCATAAGAACTATATCGTCGACATATCGAAGGTGAGTGATGTACTCGCCATTGATGTTAATACCGTAAC